ATAGGCTGACATGAACTTTGCTGCCCTGGGCAGGGAAGTGGTGAGCTCAGCCTTCTCCGGCTATGGCTCTAGCTTCCTTCCAGTCTCTGTGAGTCCCGAGACAAACTGAGTGCATGGAGTGTGAGGTCTGCCTGGTGCAGTAGACACAGCCTTGTCTGACCTGAAAGGGACATGCCGCACTGACAGGATACGGGTGACTGCTTCATTTCCTTATTTTGACATTGGCTTTATAAATTGCATTGTGAATCTTTCTGTCCATTTCTTCATTATAGTCCAACTTAGGATGGCAAACTCATGAAATTATCATTTTAGCCAGACTGAAGTACATAAGCAGGGCAGTGGTAACACTGTAGAACATTTAGAATTATCTGATAAGAACTGAACATTTATTCCTATTCTCCAACATACAACAATTCCTGCTAATAATTACATTACTAAATGCTGCCAGATTGGGTGAATTGTTAATCCAGGAACTTGCTAGGTACCAATGACTGACACCCATAGCTACTTAAGAGGCTAAGAGAGAGATTAACATGGCTCAAAGTCAGCCCAGGAAAAAAGGATCCAAAACTCTACTTCCAAAATAACCCACAAAAAGCTGAGCTAGAGGTGTGCCTCAACTTGTACAGTAATAACCAAGCAAGCATGAAGCCATGAGTTAAAACCCTAGTACTGGGGAAAAAAAAAATAAGTTCAGAAAGTAAGAAAGTACATGCTGGGTGCTGGTGGCTGTAATCCTAGCTACTCAGGAGGCTGAGTTCTAAGGATAGTCGTTTGAAGCCAGCCTAGGCAGAAAAGTTCCTGTGAGATTATTATCTCCACGTAATCACGCAAAAACTGGAAATGGAAGGCTGGGAATGTGGCTTAGTGGTAGCATGCTTGCCTCACATGCATAAAGCCCTAGCTTTGATTCCTCAGTACCACACACACAGAAAAGGCTGGAAGTGGCATTGTGGCTCAAGTGGTAGAGTGCTAGCCTTGAGCAAAAGAAGCTCAGGGACAGTGCTCAGGCCCTGAGTTCAAGCCCCAGGACTGGCAAAAAAAAAAAAAAGAAAGAAAGAAAGAAAAAAGACTCGTATATATATTCAGAAATTCCTTTAAAATAAATACCTTTTGCCAGGTGCCAGTGGCTCACACCTATAATTCTAACTACTTAGGAGGCTGAGATCTGAGGATGGAGATTTGAAGCCAGTTTGGGTAGCAAAATCTGTGAGATTTGTGCCAGGCACTGGAGGGTCATGTCACCAGTATTGTGCTAGGACCAACACAAGTGAACACACATGCACACACCAAAAAAGAAAGAAAGAAAAAAGAAATTCTTGCAGGTCTCAGTCTTCTGAGTAGTGAGGATTACAGATGTGAACCACTGGTACCTGACTTGAATTTCTTTCTTTATTCAAAAATTGGTTGGGGGTGGGAGGCATCTGGGAAGGTGGATCAGTGGTAGAGTGCTTGCCTTGCATGCATGAGGTCCTGGGTTTCATTCCTCAGAACCACATAAGGAAAAAAAGCTGGAAGTGGCACCATGGCTCAAGTGGTAGGGTACTAGCCTTGAGCTGAAGAGCTGAGGGACAGCACCCAGGCCCAGAGTTCAGCCCCTATGACTGAAAAAAAAAATTGATTGTGGGGCTCAAAGTCGTGGCCTGGGCACTGTCTCTGAGGTGCTTTTGCTTTGCTCAAGGCTAGTGCTGTACCATTTTGAGCTACAGCTGCACTTCTGGTTTTTTGCTGGTTAACTGGAGATAAGAGTCTCACAGGCAAGGGCTGGCTTTGAAGCACGATCCTCAGATTTCAGCCTCCTGAGTAATTAGAATTACAGGCATGAGCCACTGGTGCCCAGCTGAATTTCTTTTGTTTTTTTTTTTTCCTTTCTTTTTCCTATTTCCTTTTCTTTTGCCAGTTCTGGGGCTTGAATTCAGGACCTGGGCACTGTCCCAGAGCTTCTTTTGTTCAAGATTATCACTCTGCCACTTAAGCCACTGCTCCAGTTCTAGCCTTTTTTGTGTACATGGTACTGAGGAATCGAACCCAGGGCTTCATGCATACTAGGCAAGCACTCTACCACTAAGCCCCCTTCTCAGCCTCTGAATTTCTTACGTATCAATAAGATTCTAACATGGGGATAGATGTAAAGACAGAAAGTTCTGGTAGTGAGCCTGGGGTGTTTTTTGGTTAGGAAGACTAGTTGTCAGGAATGATCAGTGGATACAGAATGGGACAAGTGTGTACTGGGGTGTGGGGGGGGGGAGACATCAGGACAAAGTGGGCAGAACCAACCAGACCTTTTCTTTTTTCTTTTTTGGTCAGTTGTGGGACTTGAACTCTGGGCCTGGGCGCTGTCCCTCAACTCTTCAGCTCAAGGCGAGTGCTCTACCACTTGAGCCATAGCACCACTTCCAGTTTTCTGAGTGGTTTATTAGAGATAAGAGTCCCATGGAGTTTCCTGCCTGGGCTGGCTTTAAACCATGATCCTCAGATTTCAGCCTCCTGAGTAGCTGACAGGCGTGAGCCACTGACGCCCAGCCCAGTCAGACCTTTGCCACCACTCACCACTGGAACAAAGGACATCTTTGGAGTAGGAAGGGCTTCTACTTTGCTTTTGCAAATCTTAGGCAAATTTCTCTGATCAGTCTTTGGGTGGATCATATTGGGAGAATTCCTGGAGAAATGATTCCAGCTCAGTTAAATTGAGTGTATCATGTCAATGTACTTGCTAGAATAGTACTGATAATATACTATTGTGTGGTTGTTGTTTTTTTGGTTGGTTGTGGGGTTTGAACTCTGGGCTTGAGCGCTGTCCCTCAGCTCTTCAGCTCAAGGCTAGTACTCTACCACTTGAGCTACAGCGCCACTTCCAGTTTTCTGATGGTTTATTGGAGATAACAGTTTCACAGACTTTCCTGCCCGAGCTGGCTTTGATCCGAAATCCTCAGATCTCAGCCTCCTGAGTAGCTAGGATTACAGGCGTGAACCACCGGCGCCCGCTTTTTTTTTTTTTTTTTAATGTTGGTAGTAGTGCTTGAATGCAGAACCTGAGTGCTGTCCCTGAGGATGACATTCTGCCATTTGAGCCACAGTGCCACTTCCAGCTTGAGCTACTGACACCCATCTCATTTTACTGTCTCATTTACACACACACACACACACACACACACACACACACTTGGAATAATCCATGCATTTTCCTCTTGTGGTGCTAAGATTAGAGTCCAAGATCTTGAGCAAACTAAGCAAGTGTTCTCTCTATACTCCCATTCTGGAACTTTTTTCTTTCTTTCTTTTCTCTTTCTTCCTTCCTTTTTTTCTTTTTTCTTTTTGCCAGTCCTGGGGCTTGATCTTGGGGCTAGGGCACTGTCCCTGAGCTTCTTTTTCTCAAGGCTAGCACTCCACCACTTGAGCCATAGCGCCACTTCTGGCTTTTTCTGTTTATAGGGTCCTGAGAACTCCAACCCAGGGCTTTATGCATGCTAGGCAAGCACTCTACCACTAACCCACATTCCCAGCCTCCATGGAATATTCTATACTATTTTTTTTTCTTTGCTGGTTCTGGGACTCAAACTCTGGACCTGGGCATTGTCTCTGATCTCCTTTTGCTCAAAGATAACTCTACCACTTGAGCCACAGTGCCACCTATGGCTTTTTTCTGTGATAAGAGTCAGACTTTTCTGCCTGGGGTAGCTTTGAACTGCAATCCCCAGATTTCAGCCTCCTGTGTAGCTAGGATTATAGGTATGAGCCACCTGTTGCCTGCCTGGCTCTATAATAGTTTTTAGCTAGGCACTGGTGGCTCATGCCTGTAATCCTAACTACTTAGGAGGCTGAGATCTGGGGATTGCAGTTCAAAGCCAGCACAGCAGGGAAATCCATGAGACTCCCAGAAGTAGAGCTGTGGCTCATTAAGTACAGAGCCAGCCTTGAGTGAAATAGCTAAGGACAGCACCCAGGCCTTGAATTCAAGCCCCAGAAATGGCACAAAACAAAAGAAGAAAAGAAAAAGGAAAAAGAAAAGAAAAAATTGAAACAGTTTTGCTACATGGCCCAGGCTGTCTACCCAATTCACAAATATTCAGTACCAGCATCATGACTGCTAGGATTTCAGGTGTGCACCACCATAGCTAAAAAATAATATATATATATATATATATATATATATAAATAATGTGTGTGTGCCTAATCTGGGACTTGAATTCAGGGCATTGAGCTCTTGCTTGTTTTTTTGCTCAAGGTTGGTGCTCTACCACTTGAGCCACATCTGCACATCTGGCTTTTGTGGGTAATTGGAGGTAAGAGTCTCTTAGATTTGTCTGTTCAGGCTGACTTGTGAAGAAAGGATTTGGTAAGCTCCAGAAAAGTCTTACTGTCCTTAGATGATTACTTTTTTTTTGGGGGGGGGTCCGGTCGTAGGGCCTGAACTCTGGGCCTGGGCTCTGTCCCTCGGCTCTTCAGCTCAAGGCTAGTGCTCTATCACTTGAGCCACAGCACCACTTCTGGCTTTTTTCTTTTTCTTTTGCTTATGTGGTGCTGAGGAATCGAACCCAGGGCTTCATGCATGCAAGGCAAGCGCTCTACCACTGAGCCACCTTCCCAGCCCCAGATGATTACTTCTTGATTTCCCTTGATTGTGTCCACATTTGATTTATTTTGGCTTATATTTAACATCTTCATTAGATTTGAATGCTCACTGGTTTTTTATTTACCTTGTGTTCACATCTGATTTGCTTTCTACTTTGTTAAGATTAATTGCGTGCACCTTGTGTGGTTGGGGGTTTATAAGCTGCATGTTAATTGCATTCAAGGCAGTAGAGCTTTGCTCCAATAAAGACTCCAATTTCAGCTCTTCTTTTTGGTGGCTTCTCTGTTCTCGGGACTGGATCTACCATACAACACTTGGAACTGTGATCATTAGATCTCATCCTGAGAGGCTGGGATTACAGGCATGAGCCATTGAAGCCTGGCAAGGAGAAGAACTTAATGTACTTTGCTTGTTTGTGTCCCACCAGGTTCAGATGCCGATGGCTCCTCAAGATATCAGTGTTAAGTTTAGGACTTGGACTTGTTTTATTTATATTCAGCAGTGTGTTCCTCCAAGCAGAGTTCTTCAAGTCAGAGCTGCCGCAGCCTGCTTCCAGTGGCCCAATGCAGAAATTTCTACCTGAGAAGCATCTCAGGAGGCTCTTCAGCTACGAGGGGATCTGGTGAGGGAGTGCTCTTTCTCTGTCTCTCACTGCAGTCCTCCTTGCCTTCTCTTCCTTACTCCCCCTGGGGTGGATTAGGCTCTTCCATGCCCTTTCTGCAGTTTGCCCCTTCCTAACCTGGGCCAGTTTCCTATTGTATATTCCAGACGAGGACTGGTTGGTGTACACAGTCTCTGTTCTTTGTAGTACTCTGCAAAATCTCTTAAAGCTCTGGAGGGCTGTGTGGCCAAGACCAGAGGGAAAACATTGTCCTGTGTGTGTGTGTGTGTGTGTGTGTGTGTGTGTGTGTGTGTGTGCACGCGCGCACATGCGCACACACACACATGCATGCTTACGTACTGGGGTTTGAAATCAGGGCTTGGGTACTGTCGTTTGTTTTTTCACTCGAGGCTGAAGGTTGTACTCATTTGAGCCACACCTCCACTATCAGCGATTTGCTGGTTAGAGATGAGTCTTATAGACTTTTTTTGGGGGGGGGAGGGGGGCTGGGCTGGTTTGGAACTGTGATTCATGTCTCAGCCTCCTGAATAGTTAGGATTACTGAGCCACAAGCTCATGGATTCAAGTTTAAAGAAGCTGGGTACAAGGGGGGCGGGGGAGGATAACAATGTCAATAGGAAATGTACTTAAGCCAGGCACCGGTGGCTCACGCCTGTAATCCTAGCTACTCAGGAGGCTGGGTTCTGAGGATCGTGGTTCAAAGCCAGCCCAGGCAAGAAAGTCCATGAAACTCTTATCTCCAATAAACCATGAGAAAACCAGAAATGGTGCTGTAGCTCAAGTGGTAGAGTGCTAGTCTTGAGCTCAACAGCTGAGGGACAGTGCTCAGGCCCAGAGTTCAAGCCCCATGACGCACCAAAAAAAAAAAAAAGAAAATGTACTTATTACCTTATTCATGTAACTGTAACCCCTCTGTTCAGTATCTTTAATATATATATATATATATATATATATACACACACACACACACACACACACATATATGCTGGGCACAGAGGATGATTTAAGAGAGGGCCTTGGGCTGGGAAGAATGTGGCTTAATGGTAGAGTGCTTGCCTAGCATGCATGAAACCCTGGGATTCCATTCCTCAGTACCACATAAAAGCCAGAAGTGGCACTGTGGCTCTAATGGTAGAGTGCTAGCCTTGAGCAAAAGCAGCTCAGGGACAATGCCCAGGTCCTGAGTTCAAGCCCCAGGACTCAAAAATTAAAGGGAGGGGCAGTATTCCTCTCTCCTTCCCTTCTTTCTTTTTTCCCTTCTTCCCTCCCTTTCAATGTCTCTTAGAAGGGGGCACTGTAGGGTCTCAACCAATTAAGATAGCTGGGGATGTGGAGAAGACATTTTTCAAGGTGAATGCCACACTTGGGGAGACTTCATCCAATTGCCCACCTACTCGGCCCTTGGTTACAATTCTCTTGTTTGTTTTAGGCTCTTCCCTCAAAATCAGTGCCAATGTAGAACCCATGGAAAACAACAAGGATATAACTTTAAGAGCGCCTACAATGAGAAGGAACTCCCAGAGGTGGATGCCAGGAGACAGGCTGAGTTTGAGCACTTTCAGAGGAGGTAAAGAGGCCCTCAGGAGAGCAAATGCAAATGCACATCCTCTCTGTCCTGAGGAAGTGAGGGGTCCTGAGGAAAAAGGGCGAGACTTTCCCCTCTTGAGAGGCCCTGGAAGTCACTGCTTCTATAAGGGAAGGCAATTGAACTTGTACTCACGGCCACAGGGAGTGAGTGCCTAAATGGAGATTGTCTGTCTCCCATCTCCACCTCCTTCCATGGCTGATTTTGGAGAATTGTAAGTCTAGTTCTATCTTCATACTAATTATAGGAAAATAATCCCCCCCCAAATTGTAGGACAACACCACCATTAAAAAATTGATGGGTGGGGCTGGGAAGGTGGCTCAGTGGTAGAGTGCTTGCCTTGCATGCCTGAGGCCCTGGGTTTGATTCCTCAGCACCACAAAAGCCAGAAGTGGCGTCGTGGCTCAAGTGGTAGAGCGCTCGCCTTGAACTGAAGAGCTCAGGGACAGCGCCCAGGCCCTGAATTCAAGCCCCAGGACTGGCCAAAAAAAAAAAAATATTGAACTGTCAACTGACAAGCCAGTAAAATTTAAAATGACTCCCTGTAACTTGAGGGGATAAGTGAGGTTAGGAGAAATGGAGGAGGACAATGGGAGTGGTGACAAGATATAGTCACAAACTGATGTGTTGAATTGAAACCGTTTTGGTTTTATTTCTGCCGGTACTGGGGCTTGAACTCAGGGCATGGGCATGGTCCCTGAGCCTCTTTGTGTTCAGGGCTCTGCCACTTGAGCCACAGCACCACTTCCTGCTTTCCCTGAGTAGTTCATTGGAGATAAGAGTTTCACCACTTTCCTGCCCAGGCTGACTTTGAATGGTGCTCCTCATCTCAACCTTCTGAGTAGCTAGGACAGGTGTGTGCTACTGGCAGCTGGCTCTTTTTCTGTGTGTGTGCTGGTCCTGGGCTTAAACTCAGGGCCTGGGTGCTGTCCTTGAGCTTTTGTGTTCAGGCTAGCTCTCTACCACTTGAGCCACAGCTTCACTTCTTGTTTTTTGGTGTTTAATTGGAGATAAGATTCTCATGGCAAGGCTTTGAACTGTGATCCTCAGATCTCAGCCTTCTGAGTAAGATTACAGGTGTGAGCCACTGGTGCTCAGCTTATTATTTTTTCTTATTTATTGTGATTTGTAAATTTTTTCTGTGTTTTGTTGTACGCTGCCTCATACCTTTGTGAAGTAGGGTTTGGAGAAGTGGTAAAGTCATAGAGTTGTGGAAGGACAGACATCAACAGTGTACTTTTGATTTCTCAGTGTTGTCAGGGCCAGGGGTCTGTGCACTGGGGCAGATGCTCACCTTTGCATTCTCCTGCAGAGAAGGTCTGCCTCGCCCACCACCTCTGCTGGCTAATCCCAACCTCCCCTTTGGATACCCAGTGCATGGAGTAGAAGTCATGCCCTTGCACACAATTCCCATCCCAGGTAGGTTCAGCTGCATCCTGACAGGTGGTGGGAAAGGTTCTGATCCCTTTTAGGCAAAAGGAGGGGGAGAAAGCTGAGTGCCGGTGGCTCATGCCTGTAATCCTAGCTACTCAGGAGGCTGAGATCCGAGGATCACAGTTCAAAGCCAGCCCAGGCAGGAAAGTCTGCAAGGCTCTTATCGCCAATTTACTACTCAAAAAGGGGAAGTAAACTGTGGCTCAAGTGGTGAGTGCTAGCCTTGAGCTGAAGAGCTCAGGGACAGTGCCTGGGCCCTGAATTCAAGCCTCATGACCGACCAAAGAAGAGGGGAGCAGACATCACTGCATACCTGCAGAGAATGGCCGCAGCCGCAGATCTACTGATGGCCCTGGGAGCAAGCAAATGTAGGCCACCACTCTGGACATGAGTGACATTTGAAAAGATTTTGTGTGTGTGTGTGTGTTCATGCATGCGCTGCTACTAGGGCTTAAATGCAGGGCCTGCATACTGTCCCTTCATTTTTTTTTTTTCTGTTCAAGGTTGGTGCACTACCATTTGAGCCACAGCTCTACTTCTAGCTTTTTTTTGGTGGTTAACTGGAGATGAGTCATATGGACTTCCTGCCTGAGCTGGCTTCAAACTGTAATCCTCAGATCTCAGCCTCCTGAGTAGCTAGGATTACAGGTGTGAGCTCCTGGTTCCAAGGGACTCAAGGAAGTGCAGGAGAGCGGTAAGGGAGAGCCTTACGGTGCCTTGGTGTCCTCTCAGATAGCACTGTTTGTTCTTTTCCTTGTGTCCCCCAGGTCTCCTGTATGAAGGGCCTGATGCCTCAGTGTATGAGGTAAGAGCATCTCCACTTCCTAAATCCTGTCCTCATTCCCCTGACTGGCTGCTCCCAGGTTTGTTTTTTTTTCCCCCAACTCCTGAGGCTTGAATTAGGGGCCTGGGCACTGTCCCTGAGCTTCTTTTGCTCAAGGCTACTAGCACTCTACCACTTGAGCTACAACTCCACTTCTAACTTCTTTTCTAATTTATTGGAGATAAGAGTCTCCTGACTGGGCTGGGAAGGTGGCTCAGTGGTATAGCACTTGCCTTGCATGCATGAGGCTGGGTTCGATTCCTCAGCACCACATATGCAAAAAGAGAAAAGCCGGAAGTGGCGCTGTGGTGCAAAGTGGTAGAGTGCTAGCCTTGAGCTAAAGAGCTGAGGGACAGCGCCCAGGCCCAGAGTTCAGGCCCCACGACTGGAACCAAAAAAAAAAAAAATTTTTTTTTTTGAGTCTCCTGACCAGGCTGGATTGGGACTATGGTCATCAGTTCTCAGCCTGCTCACAGTTTTTTGTTTTTGCTTTGTTTTTGTTTTGTTGGTTATGGCCTTGAAGTCAAGGCCTAAGTACTGTCCCTGAGCTCTTTTGCTCAAGGCTAGCCCTCTACCATTTTGAACCACAGCTTCAGTTCTGGTTTTCTGGTGGCTAATTGGAGGTAAGAGTCTCAGGGACTTTCCTGTGCATGCTGGCTTCAAACTGGACCCTCAGATCTCAGCCTCCTGAGTAGCTAGGATTATAGGTGTGAGCCACTAGTTATGCACAGTTTTTTTTGTTTGTTGGTTGGTTAGTTGGTCATGGGGCTTGAACTCTGGGCCTGGGTGCTGTCCCTCAGCTCTTAAGCTCAAAGCAAGTGTTCTACCACTTGAGCCACAGCGCCACTTCTGGTTTTCTGAGTGGTTTATTGGAGATAAGAGTCTCATAGAGTTTCCTGCCCAGGCTGGCTTTGAACTGCGATCCTCATATCTCAGCCTTCTGAGTAGCTAAGATTACAGGCTTGAGCCACCAATGCCCAGCTTGTGGACAGTTTTTTTTTTTGGGGGGGTCTGGTCGTGGGGCCTGAACTCTGGGCCTGGGCGCTGTCCCTCAGCTCTTCAGCTCAAGGCTAGCGCTCTACCACATGAGCCACAGTGCCACTTCCAGCTTTTTTCTTTTTGCTTATGTGGTGCTGAGGAATCAAACCCAGGGCCTCAGGCATGCAATGCAAGCACTCTACCACTGAGCCACGTTCCCAGCCCCCTTGTGGACAGTTTTTGACTGAACCCATATCCTTGTCTAGATGAAATATTATGTGAGTCCAAGGTGGACCTGGGCAGGAGGCAGGGCCTAAGTTTTCAGTCACAGGGGTGGCTGGAGGGAGGATTTCAAAGACCAGGTGAAACAGTGGTCCACTCTTTGGGAGTTTCAGTCCAGCCCCCGAACTCCTCTAATACCCTCCCCCCCCAAATGTTTGCGAGACTCTATTTCATCCAGTGGCTGGGCATGGTAGTACACACTTGTCATTCTAGCAATGCAGGGAAGGGATGTCAGAACAATCCATAGCTTAGTATTGAAGATATCAAGTTTGAGTTACTCGTGAGCCTTTCTAGCAAGGTGACTAATCAAGCAGCTGGATCTTAGAAGAGATAAACTGGGACTGGGAATGTGGCTTAGTGGTAGAGTGCTTGCCTTGCATGCATGAGGCTCTGGTTTTGATTCCTCAGCACCACATAAACACATAAATAGTGTTGTGGCTCAAGTGGTAGAGCTCTAGCCTTGAGCACAGAGAGGCTTAGGGACAGAGGCCAGGCCCTGAGTTCAAGCCCCAGGACCAGCAAAAAAAAACAAAAACAAAAAACAAAAAACAGAAAGAAATAAACTGGGCTGAGTGAGGCTGCTCATGTCTGTAATCCTAGATACTTAGAGGCTGTGTCAGGGCAGGAAAGTCCATGAGATTCTTATCTCCAATTAACAAGTAGAAAACCAGAAGTAGGGGCTGGGAAGGTGGCTCAGTAGTAGAGAGCTAGCTTTGAGCTGAAGAGCTGAGGGACAGCGCCCAGGCCCAGAGTTCAGGCCCCACGACCAACCAAAAAAAAAGAAAGGAAAAGAAAACTAGTAATGGAGTTATGGGTCAAAGTGGTAGAGTGTTAACCTTCAGCTGAAGAGCTCAGGGACAGTGCCCAGTCCCTGAGATCAAGCCCCATGGCTGAAAAAAAAGAAAAGCAAAAAGAAAGTGATAAACTGGAAACCTGCAATGGATGACCTATAAAGTGGAGATGGACTTCTCTAGCAAGGATATATGCTACAAGGGGGGGTGGGGAAAGGTGGTAAACTGGAAAACTCCTTTGGAAGTTGGAGTGAGGTGGAGGAAGGGTTGACATGCAGAAGTAAAAGCAGTAGCACCGGTGGCAGCTTGGGAAACCGAGGCAGGAGCCAGCATTGAGCCCAGGAGTTCAAGTCTAGCCTGGGAAAGAAACATAATGAGAACAGATCGCCAACCAATTGCTGGATTAAGAAGAAACCTAACAAGATGGTGTCTACAAGCCAAACGTTCGCAGGGATGGAGTCTTTAAACTTAAAGGTCCCCAAATCTTGAGGTGAAGAGGCTAGAGGTGCAAACCCCTGCAGAGCCAGTTCTTGTATCTCTGGGGTGCCTCTGATGCTGGTATTCTTTGCCCCCTGCTGGCCAGGCTGGGGACTTGCACTTCCTGAGAGCAGATAGGTTCCCAATCCCTACAATTCAGCAATATCCTGGTTGAGTGATTGTTAAATGTGTATAAAGTATCACTTGGGCCAGGAATCAATGGCTCATGCCTGCAATCCTAGCTACTCAGGGGGCTGAGATCTGAGGATTGTGGTTGGAGGCCAACTGGGGCAGGAAACTGTGACTCTTTTGTTGGTGGTGGTGATAGTCGTGGGGCTTGAACTCTGGGCCTGGGCACTGTCCCTGAGCTCTTTCAGCTCAAGCTGAGTGCTCTACCACTTGAGCCACAGTGCCACGTCTGTTTTTTTGGTGGTTAATTGGAAATAAGAGTCTTATAGACTTTACTGCCCGGGCTGGCTTTGAACAACGATCCTCTCAGATCTCAGCCTCTTAAGTAGTTAAGTTAGGATTACGGGTGTGAGCCACCAGTGCCTGGCCTCTAGGAGACTCTTATCTTCAATGAACTACTCAAAAAAAAGCTGAAAATGGGGCTGGGAAGATGGCTCAGTGGTAGAACACTTGCCTTGCATGCATGAGGCCCTGGGTTAAATTCCTCAGCACCACATAAACAGAAAAAAAAAATCTGAAAGTGGCACTGTGGCTCAAGTGATAGAGCACTGGCCTTGAGCAAAAGAAGCTCAGGAGGGGCTGAGAATGTGCCTTCATGGTAGAGTACTTGCCCAGCATGCATGAAGCCCTGAGTTCAATTCCTCAGTACTACACAAGCAGAAAAAGCTCAAAGTGGTACTGGGGTTCAAGTGGTAGAGTGCTAGCCTTGAGCAAAAGAAGCTCAGGGACAGTGCCCCGGATCTGAGTTCAAGCTACAGGACTGGCAAAAAAAAAAAGCCCAGGAACAGCACCCAGGCCCAGAGTTCAAGCCCCAGGTCTGGCAAAAATAAGTGAATAAATAAAAACATAAAGTGTCACTTGGGAATAATAAGGATGTTCTAAAGATTGATGATGCTGATTCATGGTACAGCTTTTTGGGGCTTGATCTTAGGGACTTGTACTCTTCTTTGGCTTTTTCACTCAAGGCTGGTGCTCTGCTGCTTGAGCAACAGCTCCAATTCTGGCTTCTGGGTGATTAATTGGAGATAAGTGTCTTTAAGATCTGTCTGTCTAAGCTGGCTTTTGAGCCTTGATTCTCAGATCTCAGCTAGGATTACAGGCATGAGCCACTGGTGGCTGACAATAATGTGAGTATACTTATTGCCACCCTAGGTCACCTTGAAAGCTTCTCTGGGGAAACTAAACACTCTTGCTGACATCCCAGAAGATGTGGTGCAGGGCAGAGGCCAGAAACAGATGACCATCTTGACCAGGGATCGGAAGATTTTGAATTTTGTCCTCCAACACGTGACATACACCAGCACAGACTACCAGCACAACAGGGTAGACATGGGTAAGAGCTTTTGATTGTGCAGTGCTTAGGGAGTTAGAAAACACCTCTGGGCCCAGTCGAAATCTTCTGGCAAGCCTAACCTGCTTTCAAGATTCTTCCTTTGCAACTAGGAAGCAGTGCTGTAGCTCAAGTGGTAGAGCATTAGCCTTGAGCTGAAGAGTGCAGCAACTGTCCACAGGCCCAAAGTTCAAGCCCCACTACTGGCCCTACCCTCCCCCCCCAAACAACAACAATAACAAAGAGTCTCATGGACTTTTCTGCCCAGGCTGGCTTCAAACCGCAATCTTTAGATTTCAGCCTTCTGAGTACCTAAGATTACAGGCAAGAGCAACTAGTGCGAGGCTCCTTCTACTTTATTTAGCCAGGTGCTGGTGGCTCACGCCTGTAATCCTAGTTACTTAGGAGGCTGAGGTCTGAGGATCGAGGTTCAAAGCCAGCCCAGGCAGAAAAGTCTGTGAAACTTTTATCTCTAATAAACCACTAGAAAACCAGATGTGGTGCTGTGGCTCAAGTGCTGGAGTGCTAGCCTTGAGCTGAAGAGCTGATGGACAGTGCCCAGGGTCAGAGTTCAAGCCCCATGACCGACTTAAAAAAAAAAGGGAGCTAGGAAGGTGGCTCAGTGGTAGAGTGCTTGCCTTGCATGCATAAGGCTCTGGGTTCAATTCCTCAGCACCACATAAGCAGAAAAAGGTGGAAGTGGCGCTGTGGCTCAAGTGGTAGAGCGCTAGCAAAAAAAAAAAAAAGATTCTTCCCTTGCATCTGTTTTGAAGCCCAGACACTTAGCTTCCCAATTACAATCCCTAATACCATCCCAATATTGCAAAGAGCCTCACAGAGTCACTCAAGGAGGAAGCAGATGATTCACACTGCTCACTTTGTACCTTGTGGACACTCAGCAGAAACCAACTGTGTTGGTCAAAGGCTGGGGAGATACAGCTTGGTGGTAGAGCACTTGTTTGACTTACTATATCAAATACCAAAGACCAGGTTTACTTTGGCCTACAGCCTTGGAGATTTCATTCCATAGTGGGTTGGCCTCTTTGCTTTTTGCAGGAGATAGAGCAAAATCACATGGCCAGGAAGCAAAAGAGGACAGAAGAGGAAGGGGCTAGGTCTCATGGTCCTCTTTATTGTAGACACGTCCACAATAGCTGAAAGGTCTCCCACCAGGCTCTACCTCCTAACAGCATCATGCTGGCAAACAAATCTTTACTACACGGACCTTTGGTGAATACTCCAAACCATAGCACCATCTAATTCTGTTAGTCATTGTCTTCAAATCACAAAGCTGAAGTCTCCAGCTGAGAGGGAGCGAGTCTGTGCATCTATATCTTGTCTTGGGCACTAGTGGAAAGAGACGATGTAGGAGGGAATCCCAATTCCAAGGGCATGATTTGGGGCTGGGAAGGTGGCTCAGTGGTAGAGCACTTGCCTTGCATGCTCGAGGCCCTGGGTTCGATTCCTCAGCACCACATAAGAAAAAAGAAAAAA